CTTATTAAACTGAAAATTTCACACTAAATAATCTCTCAGTAAGACATGGTTTTTGTGTTTCTCGTAATAGTTTTTTTTCTAGTTTAAAAAGGTCGAAGAATTAACTGATATAAGACAGAATGTCATTTGCATATATAATGATATAAACGGTCCATTCTCAAGATACATTTTTTACATATTTCACATTCTATAGAAAACATTAACTGCTTTGAGATTACACCAGATCATTTGACATACAAGTATGTTTTATCACGCAAGTGGAATTGTTCATGTGGTTTGTATGATAATATCTATGACATTTGTTTTGTTTGAAACAAATAATTATCTATATAAATACAAAAAGTTAAGTAGTATGCCATTTTTACTTCTAAAGAATGTGCCAGAAGTATTAATACTGGCCTACTAAAAACACATGGCCAATAATGGATCTAAGGTTCTTTCTGCCCAACTGATGAGCGTAAACCTCAATCATCACAGACAAAAGAAACCTGTTATTGATCGTATACCTTCAGGAACATGTCAGAAAGATACATACACTAACATGGCCAGCATAAGCACACTTGATTTCCCTCTAGATATCTAGTTATGGTTTCTCGTCAGAAGGAGAGTAAACATTAGATAGAGACTAGGTACTTAAAAAAAAGTATTTCATTTCATTTAAAAGTGAAAGAAGAAAATTGTAAGGAATAAGTAAAATAAATATACCAGTTTGCTATTTACAATGAGTGACTCTGTTCTATAGTTTACGTTATCAATGCTCATTGTTTTGGCTAAAAAATTCTGATCTTGTATGATTAAAAATATATGTCTCATATATCTCAATTTAGTTTTATTTGTAATGTTTCCTTTCTACGTTGTATATATATATAGATAACACATTATGAATTATTTGTGAAATAAAGAAGTATTCAATGTTTCATAAATCAAATAAGATAGAAATAAACAAGAATAAGGTGAATCTTTACTGCATTTCACAGAAATTTCAAGTTGTCTTTCAGAGAATTTTCAAATACAGTTCCAATTTTAAGGTTTCTTTTTCTGAAAAGCACACTCCTTGATATATTATGAACTTATTAATTCATAACTTCTTGACATTTTTTGAAATAAACCAATAGATACCCTCATTTAAAAACTCCTGAGCAACCATTACACTATTAGATCCAAAAGTTCAAGTTAAATATTTTGCAGAAAGACTGTGTATCCTTAATTATAAATGAAAAGGTTTGATATTTAAGTTATTGCAACGTTTCGCTGACCATGCAATAAATCTCATGAGATATTATTGCAAGATTATTGTAAGGATTATTCCATCTTGACACTGTCATTGGCAGTACATTTTTTATGGTCAAATATATGACTAGATTGATGGGGTAAGTACGGTTTCAAACTTAGCAACAACTAATTCTTCTGCTTACATGAAAATGTATGATTAATTAAATAACAATTTTTCATCTTAACATAAAAAAGCCATGCATCTCTGTTTTAGTAATATTTTAATATTAAACATAAAAGAACAGGAATTTGAATTAAAGTTATACTTTTAGATAACAATCTTTCTTATAATAATAATGATAGAATTCTAGCATCGGAGTGGGTCTATTTTTGCACTGTTGAAACCATATAATAGTATTTTGATGATCAAGGCTTTTCACTATTTGTTATGAAAAGTTTAGTTAAGGGGTAAACCGAATCAAAGCATTATTATAATTAGATTTATTTCTTAAGTTTGTAATTGGTAAATGCATGCGAGAAAAATTTAGAAAAGTCACTACTCCTTTATTTTAAAAACTGATGTTCCAAAAAAACTTATCGTTATCATATATACTTGAAAACATTTGGTTAAATGTAAATTGAAATTAATTAAATTAACAGGCTGTATTTCTACAAGTACAATTCTGACGCATTTGTGAACGAGTTATTAGAATCAAGCCTTGGTTTAAGTTTCACATTAGTGTATAGAAAGGTAAGGGATAATTTGTTTATAAATATACATATCCAAACTACGGTAGAGAATATATGCGGTCTATTGTTAGAAGCGTATATTTCCATACGTATATAAAGAATATTATTGCTTGTTACTAATCAACAACTTGTAACACTGATAACACAGGCCTGCGATGGGTTTATTGTCTCGAAATATTCACATGTTCTACAGTAATCCCCGTACGCTGAATCCGAAAACGATATCTATTTTTCTCCATCACGTACAGATTTTTCACAAAATGTCATAAAGCAATACATAAAAGAAAGACCACAACACCTAGTTTTGAGACTAAAAACGTAGATTTCACACAAAAAATCAGATGAATGAGGATGCATATTCGTCTGACATCAATATTCTTCCCTTTTCTTCTGTTTGTTCGTATTTTTGTTAACAAACGTAATAATAAAAATGTTCATTGTGGTAAATGAAATAATAATTTGAGCTAAGTAAGAGTTTTTTTTTCTTCCTGATTTGTAAAAAATCCTTACGTGATATGAAAAAAAATATTATTTTTGAAATCTGCGTAGCTGATTTATGGAAAATCCGTTATTAAAACCAAATCAACTTTTATGAAGTTTAATTTCGCGGGCCTGTATAATTACTCCAGTCATTTTAATGTTATAAGTAGAGATCAAAAACCAAAACAACTCAGAACATCTTAATGATAATAATTACCTAAAAGTCCAACTTAATCAACATTATTATTATTATTACAGTTTTAAAGACGGGGCTCTGTTAGCCTTTTCTTGACAATCTCGTGAGCCAGAACCCTGACAACTTTTGAGTCCTCTATATACTGGAATGAAACGTTTACTGGTCTACTCAGTGGGTTCGACAGCTTCATTCCAAATTACTACAAACTGAATCGTGTTTTGTTGTTTCCTTACTGGGCCTTTCAATATTTATTCTAACTACTTTAATTTACCTGCATAGATTTTTTTACTGAAAATACACTTTCATATTAAACGGGTTCCTCTACACATTTTGGACAGAACTATCTGCACATGGGATGCCTTTGAAGACCAGTACTCCATTTTCAAATCCTTGTAACTCCGCTATCCAAACTAGATACTAATCACTCTAAAACGACTTAAAATCTCGACCACTGATAAATCAAATGTATAACTTCTCATCACAGAAAGTATATTTATCAATAAAAAAATCACCCTGCTTTCAACAACCCCTTAACTCCCTACAACTATAGTTGATTCAATTCGCCCTGCCTCGCTACCTACTAGTTCTGACTAATTATTTCTTTATTTCAGTCTGCTAATTTTTCACAGGTTTGGTGTTTTAGATAGTATCTTATTATCATGTTAATAGAGTAGTCGTCGTAATTATATTATGCTTATGTTTTATTCTGTAGAACAAGCTAAAGGACGGTTAAAAACAATCCAAAACATTCGTTTAAAATATCTTATTTATTACTTCAATCGACTTTCTTCTTTCTTTTTTGTTTCAAAACAACGTTTCCCGCTCAAATGATGAGTAACTCAAAATAATTTAAATGTGTCTAATAATTCATGAAAAACACAATCGTAACCAAAACGTGAGGAAATCCTCAGTAACCACGACTGTAATTAAGTCCCAAATCGGTCAAAAGATGTAGCTATGAACTAAAAGTTTGTACTAGAAAAATGCTCATTCCCATTCTATGAGCCGCTATGCCGCGGCTGAAAATTTATTATTGCTATAAAGAGGGAGATTGTTTAACTTTTTGTTATTAATTGAGGTTTGGTTCTGTTTTAGAGTTCCATTAGTTCCTTTTTTTACGTCTTTTTTTCAATGTTTTTGTCGATGTTGTTATAAATGATCCTAGCCCGTATTATGGAAAATCAGATCATTAACATACACAAAAAATGTTTTTTCTCAACAAAATAACATCGTATCAGTAATGTAATGCTACATTTTACAGTGTTAGACGTGTGGCGTCCCTATCATGGTAAAAAATATTATATTTAAAACTTAATTTCCATTTTCGTGAGTTCGTTCTAATTAAGAATATATATGCAGCTCTAATCATTTAAGACTACTAGATCTCTACTAAATTGAATTCGTATGTACATTCCTGGGAGAAAACACGCAACTCAACTTCCTTTTAATTAAGCATCAAGGAAAAAAACAACAACTATGCACCATATAAAAATCACTAACATTAAAATAACTTTTACAAACGCATATCTTATTAATTTATTATGTTTCTGACTGCACTACAGTATTAAAAGTTTTAACTTTTATAATTCTTTGCCAACACAAATAACTAAAAACGCGACCTTCATTGTATATTACGTTAATAATATGAATTAAAAAAAATTCTAATACACAGTATCATTTTGAAATGTACTTTATTAAGTGTTTTAATACTATAATTGAATTTTTTAATAACCACGTGACGTATTTCGAAAACTTTCACCAATGTAGTGCACTGATATCTGCTCTTGAGCTGGAGCGGTCGCACAGTGCCTGACGCCAACTCCTGAGGGAGAGTGATGACAGAATTTGAGCTGGGCTGTCTGAGAGAGAGCTACTAGTGAACACGGGGAACCACAAACAGCCAGAGTGTTCTCTGATAATCTGGGAGTTTGGGTATAGAAGACACTTAATTGCAGGTGTAAGTAGAAAACAATTTTTCTTGCATACATATTTTTATTTTATGAAGTGTCGGAACTCAGCAACAATTTATGTGCCGGAGTTACACTCTGGTGCCCTCCAGCAACGCTTAATCCACGTGTAAGTTATTAAAAAATTTAATTCTGCTTGATAAGAATTTTGATTTTCTAAAGATGAGTTAATTAAAGTTTACATTTAAAGCTAGTGTGGATTACTTTCTTTTCTAGAACTGCCATGCAAACCCATATTTGTTTTTGTTTTTTTATTTACAAGAACGATGTCATAGTTTAGAGGTAATAGTCATTATAAAACATAAAACCATCTATATTATTGGTATATATATATATGTATCTATAAACATGTACATAATTTTTAAGAAAAAGTGTAGTATATCCCAATAAATATACAACTTGACTAAACAACTTCTTATCTCTAAAAAAAGCCGGATTGGTGACGGATGCCATGTGTACTCTGAAAGATGTTTTGAATGATTAACTTTAAGAAATTCACAAGAAATAGCAAATAAGAAGTCACATTCAGTAGGTGTTTCTTTATAGAAATTAGCCACCAATAGTGAGCTAAACTGATAATTTTATAAGTTCTGTTTAGTTAGAAAATCGTGCTATAATTCATCACTCTATCGTACATCATTTTCTTTGTGTATTAGAATTTACATATTATCGCACTAATACGGCACTAGCAATTAAAAGATACAGCATGATTCATGGAGATTATAATATTTTAATTGATTATGGGTATGATACAAGAAATATTTGTTTTCTGGAAATCTACTTAATAGATATTTATATTTTGTTACAGAACATTAGAGCAATCTCGGTAAGTATTTAATCATATTTACCTTTTTTTCTATCAATGTGAAACATGCATCAGATGAAATGGTCTTGATCTTAGAATTCCTTCACTTTGGACATTATAAAAGCTTAATATACTCTGTCACCCTGTACCATTATATCGTTTGAACAACCTCTAATATCTGTTTTTACATAATGCATATGAGATTTTATACTGTATTTTCTCATGAATCATTCTTATTATGTAAATATTTTATATTTAATCTTATTCAAGTCTTGACCGCGATAGTATCTTATTGTAATATGCAAGTCATTAATAGACATGGATACTATGAGAAAAGTTATAAATAAATATATGTTTTAACTATCTATAGTCCTGGAAAGGGTAAATACAGGAACGTTGTCTTCTAGTCTACGAGGATCATCTTCACCTTTTTTGCGAGATTTGGTGGTTTCTTTTCTATGATGTGCAACTCCCCACGGTTGTAGCTCCGCTGAACCAAATGTGGCAAACAAAACTCCTGTTACAAAATAGACTGCTGAAGTTAAGAAAAACACGATGGACCACTGGTGGAGTGTTTGCTGTGGAAAAAAGAAATTTATTCATAAATATTTTACCACAGGAATAACCCCAATAAAACTGTTTTTATGGCATGACAAGATTAAGTAAGTGCAATTTACCTTTCTAAAAAAAACAGCTAAGAGGTATCTGAATAAATTCTTAAAAAGAAAGAAGTATAACAATAACATTAAAAACAAAGATCGGTTCTCGCTTTCAAATTTACCATCACATTTTAACAATTTTTAAAGATTTATTCAGATGATTTTGTCATTATCATAAAATATAAGTGAGGATTTATTATCACACCAAACCGAGGCCTACATGAAATACTTTCTCAAGTTACATTTACGTACATTTATCACCCAGAATTATCAATCCAGATTTGTTTTTCGCTTTCATAACTCCAACTTAAAAAACACAAAACGTGGTATTCATCAGGCTAATTTGTATAAAAATGATCAATTTATGTGGTGCGAATTCTTTTAAATGATTTACGTGCTTTGCGCTTAAACATTCTGCTCACCAAAGGAAAAGTCCTGTTTCAGAATAAATAAATACATTTAATATTTCCCTAATGATGTGTTACTAGCCCTAAAACGTTTTTTAAATAGAATATTTTGTCATATATGCTAACATTCCTACCTTAATTTTGAATTAACTAACATATCAAATAATTTGCTGAGTAAACGGATATTTTCAAAATATAGTAATAGATTAGAGAGATCCGTAGACAGATTTAGGTGTTTGTTTGTGTATTGTGACGTTCACTAATATAAGCGTAAACTTATCTTTCGGAAAAATATATCACATAAAGAATCGATATCGAACTAAAAGAATTTTAAGATGTAAAGTCACACTAGTAATTAAAAACAGTTTAAAATACGATGAAGCTGAACCCTTTACTAAACCTAAAGCGACATGTAAATATCGAGATGACCAAAAGTCATGTTTTTGTATTTCTTAAAAAGATTATCAAAACTGTCGACAGGAGGCAATAATTTTATTTGAGTTTTTGATATAGATTGTGAATATAATTATCAACAATAATTACGAGGGATTCAAGCTCAACCAAACTTTGTGGGATGATAGTTTGGAATAAGGACAGTGTTCATGGAGGTTCTCAACCCCCTTCATCCCCCATTGTTTCTGTTATTGAGCATTTATTATATTTGACGTTAATGTTAACTGCATTCATAGATGGCGCCACGTCCTTACAGCAAAAAAAAACTTTATTAAATTTTCTAATGCACACTATATGGGGGAGGGCACACAAACGTCTTATATATCCCAGAGAGTGCGCTAACACTCTCTGCGGAAGAAAGCAATGAAAAAAATATGGCCGCCAATATTACTGGAATAATACATAAGCTCAGCTGAAGTTTGTACTCCAACAGTTACCATTAGGTTGATATGAAGAGCTGTTTCTTGAGTTATATTGACCCGTGACCTTTCAACTTCGGCCCGTAAGACACTTTTGTGGCCATTGACCGTCAATTAATTAATTACAAGAAACACTGTGGAAGGACATTAAGAGCTGGGTGTTGGAAACTGGTAATAGGAAGCCCCCTAACGCCGCTACCTCTTCCTACAAAGTCACCCTGATCATAGCACATGTTTTAAGTGTATACATATTGAGTTCTTAAAGCTTATACAAAACTATTGGTGAGATAATAACGAATATTGTAATAATATTTTATGCTACAAATATATTGTGTGAAAGTTAGGATTTTTGTTTTATTTATCACAGAAGTTCATAAGCCGCACAAAGGACTGGTACCTCAGCTTATATATATATATGTGTGTGTGTGTGTGTGTGTGTGTTCAATGATGGTTGAAACTCATTCTACTTTGAATATGGAGTACTAGTCTTCAAAAGCACTCCCATGTGTATTCAGGTGCAGTATGCCAAGACGGAGAGTAGTTTTGCTGATATAAGTGATCTTAGTTACTACAAGTATAGTTGCTATAATCAAACAGCGCATACGTGTCAGAAGAGTGTCTTTCTGTTGGAATAAACGTTTTAATCGAAAAGAATATTGAAAAATAAAACTCATTTGGACTTAAGGGTCAATATTTCGAAAATATCTGTTAATACGCCATTTAAATATGAAGCTTTGTCTGCCAAGGTAAAGGGTGAATAGGTAAAAATTAATTTTTTTTAACTGAGAGAGAGCCTTGGATTTAGTTGAAATTTTGTGTCCAAAAAATTGAAAATGGCTCTGTTCAAAATGTGTAGAGGAACCTGTTTAATATGAAAGTGTATTTTCAGTAAAAAATCTATGCATGTAAATTAAAGTAGTTAGAATAAATATTGAAAGGCCCAGTAAGGAAACAACAAAACAAGATTCAGTTTGTACTAATTTGGAATGAAGCTGTCGAACCCACTGAGTAGACCAGTAAACGTTTCATTCCAGTATACAGAGGACTCAAACGTTGTTGGGCTTCTGTGTGACGAGAATGTCAAGAAAAGGCTAACAGAGCCCCGTCTTTAAAACTGTAATAATAATAATAATGTTGATTAAGTTGGACTTTTAGGTAATTATTATTATTAAGATGTTCTGAGTTGTTTTGGTTTTTGATCTCTACTTATAACATTAAAATGACTGGATTAATTATACAGGCCCGCGAATTTAAGCTTCATAAAAGTTGTTTTGGTTTTAATAACTGATTTTCCATAATTCAGCTACGCAGATTTCAAAAATAATATTCATTTTTTCATATCACGTAAGGATTTTTTACAAATCGGAAAGAAAAAAGAAAATCTTACTTAGATCAAATTATTATTTCGTTTACCACAATGAACATTTTTTTATAATTCTGTTTGTTAACAAAAATACAAACAAACTTAATAAAAGGGAAGAACACTGATGTCAAACGAATATGCATCCCCATTCATCCTGATTTTTTGTGTGAAATCTACGTCTTTTAGTCTCAAAACTAGGTGTTGTGGTCTTTCTTTTATGTATTGCGTTATGACGTTTTGTCAAAAATCTGTACGTGATGGAAAAAAATGGATATCATTTTCGGATTCAGCGTTCAGGAATTACTGTAGAGCATGTAAAAAAGTTTAAGACAATAAAACCGTCGTAGGCCTGAGTTATTAGTTGTGGGAAAATTCATACTCTGTTGTCAGATATCATCATCAGACACATGCAACTTTCAAACAAACATTCCAAATAGATGAAGGAAGGATGGGGATGAGTAATGGCTAGATCATCATATACATACTTAAAGTAGTATAGCATGAGTTTGAAATGGCCAACAGCTTTGGAAAGTGCAGCTATCAATTTGCACCTAATGGCTATTCCAAAGAACCATGTATTGTGTGTTTCATGACATGTGCCAATAATGATACAGAACCAGAAGATTGATATGACACTAGGGCATCCAGAATATTACTTGATCTTTCAATGTATCAGACACTCCCTGTAAAGCTAAAACTTTAGGAAGTCAGTACAAACTTATTTCTAGCAAATAACAAGAAGCTAAGCGTGATTCGAGAGGCACGCCTCCTGCTCTGTCTTCGCAACATTGCATAGTAGTTGTCTCCTATCTGGTTTCAGGTTTTAATATCTTAGAGATGGACTTGAATGCAGCATTTAGCAGCCAGATTTGCTTGTTGAAACCACCCAGTGTTGATCATATTGGGCTTGAGAACAGTGGATTGCTCACATAGTTCACAATATTATGTAAAGGGTAATCTATGATGTACTACAAACATTGTCAAGAGTGTTGTCACAGTAATAGAACCAATGCATGAAACAAACTAGTTTCTACCTGGAAAGCAGGGGGACAATATTTTGGGAATGTTCATTTTCCTTCGATATTTTCAATACGTAATACATTTTTACGATTTCTTCTACTCTCATTATTGATCAATGTTAATACTCAATTAGGAAAGCTTTCCAAAAAAACAAAAATAGTTTTAAGAATACTAAACTTTTAGTCTGTTTCATTTTGATTTAATTCGTCTAGGGCGTTTTTGTGTCTTGTGAATAAGAGAGCTTTTCGTACACTTTGTATCCTCGTCACTGTGGAGATTTCTTTTTTCTCGCAGATTTTCTTACCTTCTTAGTAGGAGTAGGAGATTTAAGAATAATCTTATATGTTTTCATACATTTTGTCTTTTACGTTTTACAAGCATTAATGTTATTTAGGAACAAACACTTATATGCATTTGAAATGGACTATGATGCTGACAAGATCTGATAAAGAAAATTAAACTCACTTTATGTTCGGTTAGAGTCCCAACAATAGCCGGAGCAATGAATCCACTTATCTGAGACAGGCCATTTGTTAGACCCATTAAGGTGCCTGAAAATATGAGGAATTCAGGGAATAACATCTTACTTAAGGTCAATGTTCATAAGGTTTTGGATATTTAACTAGCAGTATACATAGTTTTATGAAGATTATATTTGTTAAAGAATATAGAAGCCGTTCAGCTACTTACAAACATTATCGATTTACGTACAACTCGTTTATCAAATATTGTTTAGTTTCCTAAAATAAATATTGATGCTGCACACAAAAGATTACAAGCACACTTAATAAAAACGCCGTAGCTTAGAAGTAAATTGAAAAACCTCTATATATAGCACATGCATTTAAAAAATAAATAAACAAATGATATAACAAACACATTATGTTCTTCTGGTAATGTTATGTTCCCGGTACTTATACCTCATTACACATCTTCACGTTGCCTACTTTCTTTGTTAGAGAGTATCACAGTTGTATCTCCCTTATTATAGGGTACTTAATTATTTTTGTGTGTCTTTTACACTATTAATTGTTTAAGCTTTTCTTCATACGCGTGCATGTTTGTAGCTGAGAAAAAATCATTAGACCGACAGTGTCAATAGTATAATATCCGTATCCCGTGATATTTGACAAATAATTTTCAATTCTGTCCCAAAAGTTCGAAATTGAAAAAATGCTGAAAAGTTGTATTAAATCAGGAGAGAGAGAGGGGGTGGGTGTATTTCCTTTAGAAATACACTTCATAAGCTTATTTATCTTTCATTAGACCATCAAACTTTATTTTTCACTTATCTTCAAAACGTGTCCTTAACAATTATTAAAACAACGTAAATAATATCTTAATTGTTCTGTAAGAAATAAGACACTGCTATTAGTCTTGTTTGTTTGTTTGTAATTGAGCACAAAGCTATACAATGGGCTATCTGTGCTCTGTCCACCACGGGTATTAAAACCTGGATTCTAGCGTTGTAAGCCCGCAGACATGCCGCTGTACCACTGGGGGGGGCATTAGTTTTGCACTAAAGTAATCTGCGTTCAATTTAAAATTGTTTAATTATGTTCACCAATTCGACAGGAAATAATTATTGCTTGAGAAATATTATTTGCAGACGGTTTTTTACGAATCTACTGCGACGCAAGTTTATATATATGACCTTATGACCCAACGAGGTTGTGTACCATAGCTGAAAGAGATTCCACATATACGAGTATCATAATATTAATTAATAGCATGTATTTTGAAAGCCTTAGTTATAACTACTAGTAATTGTTTCTTGGAAATATTTCATACGCTATTAGAAACATCCAGAAATTGCTGTATCCATATACGCAATCCATATAATGGTAACGCATTTTGGTCATGACTTATGGACAGTCAAACAGACCCGGGGTTTCAGGATGGCCACACCACTTTACCAGCAATAGTCACACGCACGAATTGATTATATCTTTTTAAATTCTCATATCAAATTATGCAACCTTTTCTCATTGTTTGTTTGAGATTGGGGCCTTATTCTTATTTGGCGGAAGGCCACTACTACTATCACTACTGTCCTTCTCAGCGCCAACCCCATTTTTGAGTGCCATCACAGCATCTTTGGCTTGATAGATGCTTCAAGAAGGGCTGTTAAAATTAATCGGGATCGCATCTAGAGTGGATGAACAGTTTGCAAATCGCTGAACATCTCGGAACCTTACACACGCAGGTAATCGAGAGAACAATTGTGATTAATGATGAGATGCAAAACAGTAGCAAAGTCACGGTCAGCCGGGTTTGAAGCTATTTGCTGAAGATCTGTTAGGCTGAAAAATGGATGCAATTACGAACGAAGAAAAAGATGGCTCACGTAATGGATCCATCAGTTACAAAATAAAACATTCTCTCATTAACTATGGGGTTTTTGCTGATGATGTGGCCAGTTATAATTCGGTTATTCTTTAGCCGATTTAGAAACTGTGAATTATAATCATCATAACTCATCGTATGCAACAGTCTATATAAGTGTCACCAAATTAGGATAAATCCTGGATTGTTTACGTTTGCTCCCTGCCATCGACCGAGGCGCCTCTGGTTGAGGGAGAGATCCTGTGTTAATGCTTTTAACAAGTATGTTTCTCATGGATGAATGGATATATAGACGGCAATAATTATGTTTCTACTTGAATTTATTTTATTTTCAATATTTATTTTCAGTCTATCTGTATTCATAAAACGAAATGTTATTTAAGTTTTTTTTCTTCCCAGTTTGGAAAGTTGAATCAATCGTTTCATAATCAATAACTGAAATCAGAAGACGAGATGTAACCGAAATAACTTTGAAGTTTATATTACTTCCCATCTAATAGGCTTCCTTATTTATTTCCTTATATATTGATACTTCTAAAATCTTTTCTTTTTTTCACTGTACATGTAGTATGATTTTATTGTGTATCTTTTTCTTCTGTTTCGTAAGTCTATAAAAATGTTCCTAATCTCATTTCAGACCTGACAATTCATTTGGAATCTTATTTCCGGCATCCCCATTGGATCAGTGGTAAATCGGAAGGCTTATAATGCTAAAAATCGTGTTTCGATATCCGTGATTGGCACATTTACAGAAAACGTGTTGTGTAGTTTTATGCTTAACAACAAAGAAACAAATCGATAAAACTCATTTACGATATTTATTTTTAGCAGCTTGTACTCTAGCGTTATCTAGTGTGCAAAAGACACACTTGAAAAGTAATCTCAATTAAGTAATAAGTTCTATTATGAATAATAACTTCAATATAAATTAGAATTAATAACAATTGCAATAGATTTTTACTACAAAGTAAGCTTCATTTGATTAAAATATTAATTTAAATCCTGTTCATTGGTCTCTTTGCTTGATTTCTAAGAAGGGTTAAAACCAACATTTCTATACAAGCCTCTTTTTCCAACCATAATAGAGCACATTTTTCTTTACATGAAAGCAAATATTAGCATTTTAGAAAATGACTAATAGAGGAATTTTCCACATTGAATACGGCCAAGGAATTCTTGCAGAATGATAAAACGTTTTAGTAATCATAGTTAGTAGATAAAATACACTGTATACTGAACTATCTAAATATGAACGTTAACTTACTAAAACTTTATATGTAACCTTTAACCGGAAATGAAATGAATAAACCTGATGCCATATGAAAAAATAACACATTATGCAAAATTTGCATTTGTACAGTAAGTTAATACACGGTTATGTGAACAACTAAGTAATCCTAACCTGTACACGCCTTCATATGACAATAAGAAAGGAACCTCTCCTGATAATAATCTGACAATTCTTTCCTAATAAGACTTTTGTCTGGATGAACTGAGCCTCGGAAATTAGCAAGTCCAAGTGCCTAAGTATAGAAGCTATTGTTCAGAATAGAAAGTGAATTCTACACATTTCTTATGGTCAAATATCGCAAGATACAAGAAAGTAGATCATACATTTCTACAACTCTTTATCTTATTGATCTTAATATAAACTGTCTGTGTAAGTCGATAGAAACATCGACTCTACATTGCTGTTTTACGATCAGAATCACCCGTCATTTCAACAAACATGTCTAACATAGATGTTTCCTCGGAGTTAGTTTGTCTTGAGAACACATCATTGTGTATCAAATGTATTACAACATTCTCATTATTATAAGTTTACAGAATCTAAATGTTTCATTTTATTCCACTACGATACCTGAACCTCACCAAAACGCAAGTGTCTCACAATTGTAAAGCTCATTTACAGATTAAAACATTCAGATTACTAACAAGTTTGAACTGTCTTTTTTTCGGGGTTAGAGTTATCTAAGATGTTATTTGACTCTATACGTGTAAACGCTGGTATTGTAATGTCCAACTGACTGAAATAACTAACTACAAAAACGTTTAAATGTGATTCTTGTTTTTATTACTTTGTTTTTGTGATGCCAATTTCTAATGACATGATTCGTGCATAAACTGTTTTTATGTACACGATAGAAATTAGATATTTATTTAGTAGAAAAAACATATGTTTTACCTAAGAACTAAAATCTGTCCAAAATGATAAAGTAAGCATTAGAGATGGTAATGTATGGACATAAAGCTCGCATTTCCTCGATAAGTATCAAATTGATGGACAAACTTTAACAATCACTATAGTTACCTAATTAAACCCAAATAACCTTGATATACTGAGATGTAGCTGCCATCAATAAGATCATCTACATAACACTACAAGCTCAAAAATGAAAAATAAAATATCGTAAATGTAAAAAGCATTATTAGCTGTATTTCTTTGTGATATTTAATTTGCAGTTTTTGGAATTAAAAAGGTAGAAAACGAGAGAAAGAGAAACCACACAAACATTATGATTAAAAAAGCAGACAAACTGCTTTTTCTACTGTTTAAATGTATCTAATAATTTCATTAATCACGCAGTTTCTCTTTCGTATTCCAAAATACAGTTGGGACATTCTTTTTAATATCATAATTATACTAACAATTGCAATCAAATAAAACACTTTGGTAATCTTTCAAATTAACTCATAGTGTACAAAACTCTAAAATTAAACATTTTGGAAACAAAGAAAATTGCAAAAGATTAAGTGAGTTAAAATGAACTTTTTAACTAATATATTTAAGACCGACGTACATTCACTGATACTGTTTATATGACATTAGGTTATAAGTATGTAGTAAAGTTAAAAAACGACCTCCATCTTACATCAGAAAATACAATAAATATATATATTTATACACAGACGTAGAAAGATGCAGGTGAGCTTTATTAATTACTACATGAACACAATCATTTAGCGATTGTCATTTTGTACGGATTGTTAATTTTTAAACTAGTTTTGTGTTTAGTCATTGAAATCAATAGCACTTGTATCTAGTTAATAAAACATGGTAGTAATTCTTCGATATGTACGAACTATTAATCATTTCAAATGACTATTGCGTATTTTCCCATTGATAACATAAGGTTTACTATTCTCAATCAATTTAGAGCCAAACAAACAAACAGTGAAAGTGTGGCTTTGTGATGCGAAGTCTTAGCCCTATATTCTCATTATGCTTGAAGCTTATAGAGTTCCAATTATTCTGATTTAAGATTCCTCAAACTTAGTTAGCTAATCTATGGAGTCTATGTTAAACAATTACACTGCATTCGTTAGTTAGAAATGTTGTTTTGTGGAAAGAGCAAATTCTAAAACACTATTCTACTTTAAATACGCCATTTCGAAACACTTTCGTTTTTCTTTTTTTGTTAAACATTATCAAATCTAACGTGAATATATTTCGTGTTTATGTTTGAAAGAGGAGGAAACATGTTTTTTTGTGCGAAAGTAGTATCTAAGTACAGTTTCAGACTAATTATAAAAAAATAGAAAAATAAATCTATTACAAAGACAACCACGGAACAAACATTACGAAAAGTAACCTACCAGCAAAGTCAGGAGCCAAATCCAAATGGTTCACCATGTATCCCGAGAAGGAAAACCCATTTAATGTCATGGCTAATGTGAACAGGGTAACATTTACGATATTATTGCAACCGGCCAAAACAACGCCGATAAGACACAACGCCGGTCCCATAGAACCTAAATAATAGAAATATTTAAAGACAAATGGTAAAGAAATACACATTCATGTCATCCACGTACAGGAAGGAATAAATAGTGTTATAATATAAATAAAACCAATACATAAGAAACCAATGAAAGAAAAACAACAACTCATAAATAACCAACGAAAGATATAACTAAAATATAAACAATCAATGAAGATGCTACTTTAGAATATTATTTTCGACCTGATGTGTATCAAAATTTCAATCTTGAGCCAATGTTATAACAAAGCAGAGTTTTTAAAGACATAACAAATGAACTCTGATTTCTTACACTGTCCAAAATTTATACAAAGCATAAACTTTTTCGGTCATTTTAATATTGATATCATCAAAAATAATTTATGGTAACTTTGTTCTCTATTTCTTATCTATGGGTAATAAGTATACTTTAGGATCTTAACATTTCCATTGTAATGTATTTCAAAAATAAGAATTCGCAAACATGTGAGTACCTTTCACATAAGAGAGTTGCTTTGGAATTTTTTTTTAAATCAAAATATTTCAGAATCTAACTCATTTATCCATTCACAGAAACACACTAATAACACGTCGCTGAACGTTAGTTATAACTAGTAAATTACAACACTAAACTCATTAGTGATGATATAAAAGTTCACTGTATTTTTTTGCTAAAATGTTTGTTACATGAAAGAGTATAAAATTAATAATGAACAAACTTTCAGTAAACCAGATTTTCGACTACAAACACGTGAATATATGTCATTACTCATGGTTAACTTATCTCTGATACATATACATATGAATGTATACTTCATATTATGAATTTAAGGTTTTTCTCTCAATTCTCTTGGGTGCCACATATTGACAGTAATTGTAATTTAAGTAGGAGTGCTATTTGTATAGGGTAAAATATTTCCAAATAAGAAAATAACTATCCCTTGTTATTTGATAAATACTTCCGAATGGTCTTAAGAAAATCTCATTTCTGTTTCTTTTGTAAACATCACACGTAAGCTTCGTTTGTGCCATGGACTACAACGTATCCGTTATCTAGGGATTAACTCAAAGTTCTAATATTGTTAGTGATCATAAAACAAATGTCACATGAAGGCTAGCAGAGCTATACCTTATTTAGTCAAAAACACCTTAGGTGTGAAAAAAGGTGCGGCCAAAAACAAAAAAAAAAGGATTGAGCCTGAGACTTAAAGTAATGAAATCAAAATTGGAGGCCAAACTGGTAACTACACTACTAGAATTGATGAAAATTTTACAGCAAATATTCATTCATTACTTAGATAGGCCACGTTTTTTGTTTAACTTGGAGTATGATTGTGGGCAAAACAGAATACGCAGCCTGGCTAACTAATGAATGAATATTTGCTGTAAAATTATTATCAATGCTATAAGTGTAGTTACCAGTTTGACTCCTAATTTTGATCTCATCCCTTTAAGTTGCACGCTCGATCCTTTTTTGACATCACCCTGTTTTCACATCTAAGGTGATTTGATTAGATATCATGACATTTTTTCAATACACACCAACAAACCATACCAAATAAGAAAGTGACACTCGATAGTAACCAACATTAGCTTTGGGATCGCAACCTTATTATTCGGAACAGACCCATACTTTACAGAGCTAACCAGGTTCTTTAAAATATATGGTGGTAGTTTTCCCACTCTACAACGGTGTTAATAACTTCCTTTATAGTAATGCTATGGAAACTAGATTAACAGTTTCTTGTCATCAAGCATGTACTCGGTAGAGCCGTATCAAGCATCATTGTTTACGCTAATTGCTTAAGCTAATATCATGTGACGCTAAACGCTCTATAATTAGGAGAATTTCATAAAAGTTAATAAAAAGTTTAGCGTTATAGGTTCGTAAACTCACTGTTGGTCTGTGGTGGAGCCCGAAAAACGCAAGACATCTACATTTAACTATTAACTATGTGAGTATATTTTTATCTATGATGTATTATTACAATGGAATTATAGTTTGAAAGGTCTAGTCCGCAGCAGGTTAAAACGTTTCATTACTTTTTCACGACTATTACATAACCTTTATAAGACCTATATAAATGAGGATGAGCGCGTTCCAGTGGTTAGAGTGCCGGACTGTGGAGCCGTGGTTTGTGTTTCCTTACAACAACAACAAAAAAAAAAAAAATCTCGCGTTAGGAAGTTTGGATCCATGGGTGACTTACGACTGACTGTCAAATCTCACTATTCTGTCTGACAAGCGTAATAGCTCATGAATTGGTGATAAACGTAATCGAGTAGCTGCTTTTCATTTAGTCTGTCACTTCAAAATTTGGTAAGGCTATATAGCCCTCGAGTAGCTTTCCGCGAAATTCAACGAAACAAACCTGTGTAAACGAAAATCATAATGTGCAGATTATTTTAAGACCGTATTATATCTCATAGTATTTAAATTGTTATTGTATCGAGTTTATTTTCATTAAATTATGTTCACCATTAAATTGCAGGATATTTTTAACGGTCGCTATGTATGAAGCCATGTTATGTGATCAGCATAACCTATGATGGGAATATTGATTCGTGAAGACGTTTTATTGTTCTCTGATGTATATATTCCAATACATAGTTTCAGTATTAATAAAAAAAGCTGTTTTATGTTTAATATACACTTACATAACATTAAGACATGGTAATGGTTGTAAAACTTACCAATTGTGTTGCAGACTTTTCGAGTGACGCTGATGCTGAGATATCTTTTCCTTACCATGAAGTCTGCTATACTTCCAGCTATCCAGGCAACAGATGCCCGAAAAAGATACGGAAGAGCCGATAGCAAACCGTTCTATTACCACAACAAATATAATTCAGGCAACAATATTTAAAACAAACGGATAAATTTAGCCTTAATTTTAACAAATTGTTTTTCATTTACTTGTATAAGTGGTTGGTGGAGGCTGGGACATTTCATAGGTTCAATAAAAAAATCTCCATTTCCTTCATGCAACCAGCACTGGGTGATTTCAACAGCAAGAATGATATTTTGCATAAAACAATTTTTTGTTTAAAAAAATTAACACATTATTTTCCTCCTCCTCTTTGGATCGAAAAAGCTTATCTGTTTTAGCTTGGTAGTTCAGCAAGTGAAAAGTTTAAACTACTTTAACATTTACAAGTTAGCTTTCCATGTTAGTTAAAATAAACATTCTTTCTTTTGAAATATTTTATGTTATATTTTTGTCAGCTGATTTGAGATTCTATATAGAAGTAAGCTTAACGACTTGTAACGCTACAGTCCAGGGTACTATATCTCGTGGTAGACACAACACAGGTAGCCCATTCTGTAGCTTTGAACTTAAAACAAACAGTTAACCAATCAAGAATATTCTCTATATGCATTGTTAAATATAGTTCTTCAGAGATAACGTATCACATTCATTATCTCATAATTATTATTTAAAAGTGTACCTTATATGTGAAGCTTTATAGCGAGAATTACCTGTGTCAAATTAATAACAAAATTACTATCCCATGTTGTTACGTTAACACCTTTCAATTTATACGGCGTAATAGAGTAGATACACTTTGATTGCCCATAATTATATTACATCTCATAAATGTAACGTGTCTTTTCAAGTACTTAACAGTTTGTGAAAAATATACAACTAAATATTTCACATTCTTTTTAAGAGCAAAAACTATAGTAACGGTGATGCATTTTGCCGTTAGTTTCATTTACAAAAAGTGATCTTTTAAACCACAAAAAAGTTTAAGCACTTCAAACGAAAAACAATAGTGACGGTAATTAACAACGCACTATTACATTTTATTGAGCTGTGAATGATTTATGAATAAGTAGCTCTTCATTAGCGAGACCAGTAACTAGGTGCTTAAAATAGAATACCTATTAATTAACTAGCTTTTCAATAACTATAATAAATTAACAAAGTACTAACAGACGCGCCGTTATCTTTGTAAGAAGGTATACTGAAACATAACATGTTTCAAAAAAGGTATTTAATAAATTTTAGACAAAGGAATAATAGAAGCAAATAACTAGGAAATGATTATAGACGTTAAATGAGTTTGAACGTTCGCTAGTTTTCTCTGGTTGTAACATGAGACATATAATTAATATGTTATGTAAAGTTCAAACATCTTTATATTATAAAGAACAAACATCATGTGGAGAGTATTAAGTTTGCGTTATACACAACAAAAATAATAAATTAGCCTTGCAGATATGGCCCTTGGCTTTAAAACTTTTACAGAATAATTTCTTGAGAAGCGTGAGCTACATCCAACTTTTGCCCACGTACACACACGTAATGATAACAAGTTAAGTGAATGATGATATAAAATAGTAAAACACAAAATAATTTATATCCGGTAGAGTGAGATGTCATGCATTTAGCAGACAAAGATCCTGTCTCATTTATCTTCACTCTAATACTATTAGACTGAACTACATTGGACCATATTATTCGTTTTACATTTTTGATATTGCAAGTTATTTTGACATTTTCAAATAATTTTAATACCTTAGACTTTAGATAAAATAAGTTTTGCTTTATTTGAAATCTAATTCGCTAAACGGAGGCTAGAAGATATTGGATTATCATAGGTGCTTTGACTTTATACTATGTATCTTCTAACAAGATGACCCGTTTTTCATCTGATTGTGGAAGAAAGATGTTCTTTTTGAAGGAATTGAGAGTTTACCAACTTAAGGAGTATATCGACTGAAGGTATAGTTCAATAATCTCATAATAAGCGTTCAGCATTAAGAAAAAAATTGAGTCACTTCTAGGGACAATTGACTTTTGATAAATAAAAGTGTTTAGAAAAATAAAAAATTACACATACACATCACCTGTTTCGATACGGATAAAATTATCAATAAGAAAGTGTACCTCCATAGATTGTCAGTCCGTATATATTCATAAATTAAAGAATTGCGTACTGGATTCTCTTCAATTCTGAATTTTAAAATGTATTAGGTTATATTAATTAAATAGCCATCTTCCATTCTTTTGTTTATGTTAAAACAACTTGGTCTCAATTGAATAAGAGTGAATACATTTAAGAATGATTGAAAGTAATTCTATAGCAATCCTAAAAATATATCACCAACAGTATTATTTCTGATTCTATTTACCTTTATAAATATCAGGAAGAAATATAATAGGAGGAATAAGTACGTTATATTAACACGATTTTGAATATGTAAATCAGCAAGTCATGTGACAAATATAGATGATATAAAGGTCGTGGTGACAGAACTACCTGTTGTCATTTTTTACCGTTTCGTTTGAAGTTTGATACTACCTCAGGTTGATAATTTTTGGGAAGGGTATGTAATAGCCCTGTCCGATTTAAAACATTCATACACTCAATATATTCTATGACCATTCCTGTGCATGTATTTCATAAAATAAGTAATAACTTCATTGTTTAAAAATGCACAATAATTTATTGTATAAAGTTGAAAATAAAATATACAATTAAAACTCTACATTTTTCAGTGGAAAAATACTACCATCTTTAGGAGATTATAAGAACTACAGGAAATGTCATTTATATACAAGCAAGTGTACGCGTATAATTTGCATTTGTACAGTGCTCTTTACTAACAAGGTTTCCAAAAATTCACTTCTATGGTACCCGGGCCTAAATCTCTATTCAAAATCATTTTGTGTTTAACAATTTCTAGAGATTCTCTTATGTTTAATTTATTTTTAGCTTAACTTATTAAACTATTTTAGCCTTATTCAACTCAACGTTATGCTAAGAGTTTGCCATATATTCCGCTAAGTCCGAATCGCTAGTTTTTATTTTTTATGCCATTTTTATGTTCATTAATTCGAAACTTCAAATTTCCACTTGTCTGTCCGATATAATTCAAGTCAGAACTGATTTTATATACTCCGCATTTCCCCTTTAATATTAAATTTGTCTTTAATACTATTAATGATATTCATTATTTTTAACTGAGAAGTAAAAGCTAGTAGACAAGTTTGTTTTTCATGAATACTTTCTGATTTTTGTTAACAGTGACGGTACATATGACAAACATATCCCTTCTTTATTAACCTTAGTTATTATCTGTAGTCTGGTATATTCTAAAATTGGTAATTTATTACAGTGTTTTTAATAAATCCTATATATATATATATATATATATATATACTAATTAATAATATA